ACTCCCCCTTTCTCCCCCCATCTTCTCCTTACCCTCCTGATATCACTACTCTCATTATTGGTACTAAAGGGTTTATCTATCGTGGATTCCCTGTGTTTCCATGTACATGCTCTGGTCTAGCCGGATTTGTAAGGTAGAATTGGGGTCATGATAGTGGGGTGGGGCAGGTGAGCATTAAAGAACTAGAGGAAAGTGTGTATTTCATTGGTGTTATACTGCACCCTGACTGGCTTGTCTCTTCCTTGTGATTGTAAGGGGGAGTCCAATTGTCTACAGATGGGCTCTGGGTCTCCACTCTGCACTTCCCCTCATTCACATTGATAAAATTTTTTTGTTCTGAGTCTTTGATGCCTGATACCTGATCCCATCGACACCTCATGATCACACAGGCTGGGGTGCTTCTTACATGTGGACTTCAGATCTTTTAATATGCATTGACAGCGTACATAATCACATTACAAATAGAATTTCATATATTACACATATATGTATAAATCTTATTCATATGTCATTATTTCCCTCTTTTTCACAACTACAATAGTAAATAATCTTACTGATACCCAAGACGGACCTAGAGAGACTGGACTGAGAAGTAAAAGGTTAGCTCTAAAATGAACACATGACATGGGTCCACTTGGCAGAAGTCCATCAATATTTGTTCTGCAGATAGACCCCAGATAGCATGGCTCCACGGTCTCAACGACGAAGACACAAGAAACCCTCCTCACCAGTGGCTCCAATGGCTGAGACCCCACCCAAGGTTATGACCCCGCCTAAGACTGTGAACCCTGTGTCTCTGACTCTCTCAAAACCTGGCCCTAGCATTGATGCACTCGGCTTCTTCTCTTTGGAGAAGAATGTTCCTGGCCTATCCCAGCTGATCCTCCAGAAGCTGAACATGAAGAGCTATGATGACTACAAGTGAGTGTCCAGTTCTGTGGAGAAGGGAATACTACCTCTGATAGAATAGATTTCAGAAGGTGGAGAGTGAGTAACACTTGAGGAGTAAAGAGTATTTACAATAAAGATATTTCCGTGGCTAGACTCTTGTCAGTTTTACTACTATAGAAGAAATATGATTTGCTTACGTGAAGAGTAGTGATGGGTAGAGGAGACATGAAAGTAGGAACTGTGAAGGCAGCTAGGTGGGGTGTGTGAGAGATTTTGTCGACTTTCTTTGTCCTATTTCCATTCTCCCTACTGTTTCTGCAGGTTGGTGATAGACGGGGGTATCCCCATATCAGGCTTTGGATTTCGATGTCCTCAAGAAATGTTCCAGAGACTGGAGGACACATTTCGATTCTGTGCTCAATGTAGAGCACTCCCTAGTGGCCTCTCAGGTTCAAAGGTTCTCCGGTGCTGCACAAGGTGACTTGTGGGTAGTACAATGTGTAAGGGGAGGGGAGGGGTGGGGTGGGGGTGGGAATCATTCCAAAGCCTCATTCCTACAGGAAAGGTTGGAGAGTTTTCCAAAATAGCATAGGGCCCACTCCTCATTTTGTATGATCCAAGCCACAAACAGATTAGAACAAGGATAAGTTCCTGTCTATTTTTGGTAGCATGGAGAATCTTCTTTATTATCCAAAGGGTAAGAACTGCATCAGTCATGGGGGAGATGAGGGAGACGAAGAGTTGTTCCTTTGTTGAGGGCAGTCAGAAACTCTCAGAAGTTTTGTTTTGTTTTTCTGTTAAGATATGTGAATGGTGATAGTTCTAGATGCAGACTAAGGTGTTATTCTGCCCTAAGAATAATTCCCAATTGCTCTTACCTGCCCCTTCAAATAGTCTCGAAATTTGGTAGATCATGTCACTCCTCTCCCCACTTACTTTGCCCAGTGATCTTCCATTCTCTAGATGCAAGAATAGCAGTTCTCTTTCTAGACATTCTTCACTAACCCTTGTAATGTAGTACTATTTCTATACCTCATCCCTCTCAGGTGCAGAAACGTCTATTACTGTGGTCCAGAATGCCAGCGATCAGACTGGCCAGTACACAAAAGGGTCTGTCAAGAGCTGCATCTAGTGGCTGTGGATCATCTTGTGGAATGGCTTCTGGTTACAGGTGAAGTGGTGATCTTGGGGAACATTACCATGTTGGACAAAGTAGAAAAAGCCTGTTGTTAATGAGGAACTGGGCCAGGGAACTAGAGCACTCTTGCTCTCAGGTTGGGGGAGTGAACTTGGAGAGAATATTCATCATTAGGGAGGAGGGAAGTTGGATATCAGAGAAGGATCAAGACACTGTACTTGTTCTCTCTTTCCTGCAGGTGACTTTGTCCTGCCCTCAGGACCTTGGCCATGGCCAACCAAAGTTATCCAGGGCTGGGACACCTGGTTTTCTATGCGAGCATTACAGCTAGATGCTTCACTGGATGCTGTGCTAGGTAGCCAGGCCATGTCCACCTTGTGGGCCAGTGTAAGACAACCAAGGCCAGCCTCTGATGTTCTCCAGGGTTCTTTGAAACGGCTTCTGACAGATGCCCTATCACGACCCTTGACACTGGGCCTGGGCCTTCAGGCCTTGGGGATAGATGTTGGGAAGACTGGGGGAAGCACAGTGCATGTGGTTGGTGCTTCCCATGTGGAGACGTTCCTCCCTCGTCCTGGAGACTATGATGAGCTTACCTACATGTTTCCTGGACACCTTGGCCTCCGTGTGATCATGGTTGGTGTAGATGTGGCTACTGGCTTTTCACAGAGCACCTCAACTTCATCACTGAAGCCTGGCACAATTCAGCTTAGCAGCCACAGAGGCCTCTATCATGACTTCTGGGAAGAGCAGGTAGAGACTGGACAGATAGCCCATCCAGATTTGGTTGTGGGATTCCATCCAGGTAAGTGTTACTGGTTCAGGGGGATATTAAGTGGCTCGAGAATCCTGACCTTGGATCTTCTATCTTTCAAAAAAACCCAAAACTCACTGCCATGGTGTCAATGCTGACTCATTGACCCCCTGTGGGTTTCCAAGACTGTAACTGTTTATGGGAGTAGAAAGCCCAGTTATTCTCCTTTGGAGCTGCTAGTGGTTTTGAATTGCTGACCATGAGGGATTGCAGCCCAATACCAGGGCTCCTTCTGTCTTTGAAATTCCTTTAATTTGACCTGGTTAAACAATAGGATTGACCGTTAGCCATAACCTTCATTGATCATTAGCCAAATGTACTACCCTGTGTACCACCTGTGGTGGGTGCTGGTCATAATGAGGAGGGTTAGAGATGAGCATAGAAAGGGGTGGAGTAGACACAGTTGAGAATTCTCTTGCTTAGGCTCTACCTTACCTTTTCCCTGTCTTTTCACCTTTCCATTTTTGTTCCATGGGTTTCCATTCCTCTCCAGACTTGATGGAAGCTTGGCTGCCCACCCTGCTGCTACTTCGTGATTATAAGATTCCAACACTGCTCACTGTTTACAGGTTTTGACCGCTTCCTATTGGTAGTACCTCTGTGACTCACTCACCTTTATATACTAAGTCCATTTCTTTCCCCTTTGCTCCTCTTTTGCCTTCCAGTAGGAATTCTTCTCATTTCTACTTAACTTTCTTAATGGCCTGAATAAACTCCATGCAAATTAATAAGGGATTTAGTGAGATGCTTGAGATAACCTCTTACTAGTCCAGTCTTAAGTGATGAGTCTAGAAATGCCAGGCCCTCAAGCAGTCTTTCCTTTCTCTGTCTCTTATCCTCAGCACGCCATTTTTTCTCACATCTTTCCTACAGCCATCAGGAGTTGACAGCCTCTCTGCAGATTTTGGTGGACCTGGGTACTCATATCACTGCTTACGGAGCTAACCCTTTCAAGTCCCTCAAACCTGAACAAGTCTATTCCAACCCCAACAAGCAGCCAGTATACTGCAATGCCTACTATATCATGTTTCTTGGAAGTTTCCACCCGCTGGAGCAGAGACAACTGGAAGAGGAAGTGGATGGCAAGGTTTAAATAGCTGAGCCAGATCCTGACTGAGTGTCTGGGAAACGGGGAGATTGTGATGAAATTACTCTCCTAATGCTGCCAGGTTGTTACCAACTGTGAAACCCACTGTATTCTAAGCCTCATTCATTGTCCAGGTAAAAATTCTAAGCAGAAAGCAGCTCCTATGGCATGATTTGTTGCGATGAGAGTAAACCACAGTAGCTTGTAGGACACTAATCTGGATTTAAGGAATGAGGACCTGGTATCTATTTTTCCGGACATTAGTGTTCTCAGCAGTTTCTTTTGTGGGGGGGGAAAATGTAATTCTCAACGAACTAGTTGGCAGCCTCTTCTACAGGAGGAAAATAAAAAAGAAAATACATGATCTTTTGTAGGACACTAATCTGGATTTAAGGAATGAGGACCTGGTATCTATTTTTCCGGACATTAGCGTTCTCAGCAGTTTCTTTTGTGGGGGGGAAAATGTAATTCTCAACGAACTAGTTGGCAGCCTCTTCTACAGGAGGAAAATAAAAAAGAAAATACATGATCTTATTCTTGAGGCGGGGGAGGTGGGGCACTAGCTTCTAGTCTAGCAATTTGGACTGCAGACTGTCCTTGAAATAATTCAACAGTGACAAGTGAGAGAGGGCGTGGGGATTGAGACGCTGGTTTCTGTTAGGGCCTTTTCACACGAAATAGCTCATTCCTTTGGAGTTTCTGTTTCTAGAGCAGCTTCTTGTCCCAGTGTCATACTTAGATGTCCTGGAATCTATCATACTTTACATGAATTTACTGGCATTATTTGTTATCACCTGTCATAATAAACTCAATTTGGAACTTCCTACGCTACTTGTTATATTTTCTATTCACTGGTAAGTATTACTTCTGTATACATGGCATCCCAAGATTGGAGGGTTCTGTCTTGCCCAGAGAGTGGTTAACATCAGCTCTCAGTCTGGGCCTGCCATTTTACCACACCCCTGTTTCATGATACCCTTCTCTTATCACATTAAAGATTAGGGCACTCCCTAGGTATTCTTTTCTACACTCTTTACATTACTTCCCCATCTCCACTCCACCCCAATAAACACATACTACCTGCTTTGATTGCCCTCTATGATAGGAATAATGCTAGAGTTAATGTTTTCATTCAGAACATTCCGTTCATGCCTGTCATGTGAAAGATACTCTACCGGGACTTTCGGTTGATAAAAAGGCGTATGAGATAACTTCTTTAACCCAGGAAGGGGGATAGTAATACCTATATCTTGATAACCTTGTTACAAGTTATAATGTGGAATACGACCTGTGAGGGAGGCTTGTTATGCTAAGGAATTAAAGTAGGAAAACAATCACTTTGCTAGGTTAGGATGAAGGTTTTATGAATTAGAATTTTATTAAAGTTAGAGGGCAGGTCATTCCAGCTGGATAGAACAAGAGCAGACCTTCTGGGCCAGAAAAGCTCTGGAGATATTTGGGGGTTACTGTTGTAGACTGCACTGGAGCCCTGCTAGTAGAGAGCCTACTAACTGCAAGGCATCGGTTTGAAACCACCAGCCACTCCCAGGGAGAAAGATGGTGGGGCTTTCTACTCCTGTAAACAGTGACAGTCTTGGAAACTCACAGAGGCAGTTCTGCTCTGCCCTTTAGGGTTGCTGTGAGTCGGCATCGACTCAGTGGCAGTGAGAGAGAGTCAGGCTGCATTCTCTAGAGCGGCAAGACCAGTGAAGCCTGTGTCTAAATATGTATACAGAAGGATTTATCTCAAGGAAATGCCTCATTCTGTTATGGAGGCTGGCAAGTCCCAAATCTGTGGGAGGCCTCTTATTACCCATTAATTCCAGATTAGTGTCCTTAGAAGCTACTGTGGTTTAAGTTCTAAAGCAGCCTGAGGTTTCTCCTGGTGAACCCAAATCAGCCAGTAAGCACATGGAAGCATGGTCACTGTCATTGGTAATTACTGCTGTTTGTTAGATGCCATTGAGTCAAAATCAAAACCACAATGAGATACCCCTTTACATCGATTACGATGGCCTTGATCAGAAAACAGGCGAATAAGGGCTAACAAGGATGTAGAGACATTGGGATCCTTGTGAATTGCTGGAGGGAATGTCCAATGGGACAGTCATTGTGGGAACAGTTTGGAGGCTCCTCATAGTTAAACAGGATTACCATATGCCCCGACAATTCCATTTTCTTGAACAGCGCAGGTTAGAATTGTGTAGCCTACTTACATGTCAAGTTTTTTCTGTTGCTATTGTGAAATTACGTATTGCAAGTATCCACTTAAAATGCAATAGCTGATCTGCTCTATAAACCTTCACCCAATTAACAATAATTTTTAAAATATAATAGCAACAGGATAGATAAAAGCCCCTATAAGTGAACCCATGAACTTCAAATCCATGTCAGTTATACACGATATGTGTATTTTTTTCTTCAACCATTTTATTGGGAACTAATACAGATATATCATTTCATAGTTCAATCAAAGCAAACAGTACTGTACAATTGCTACCATGGTCAGTTTCAAAACATTCTCTTTCTGGAATTCCTTGAGATATGCTCAAGATTTGACTGCTCAGAATGTTGGTGTCCCTAATATCTGTATTGTTCAATGGTTAAAAAAGAAAACTTAAAAGCTGGGGCTCATGTTCAGCAATGCTTCTTGCAACATTATACACAATAGTCAAAAGGTAGACACAACTCAAATGTCCATCAACTGATAAATAAGTAAACATAATATATATCCACACACTGAAATAATATTAAGCTATAAAAGCAGAAGTAAAATGCTGATTCATACTACAACATGAATTCATTTTGAAAACAGAAACAAGCCCGTTACAAAAGATCACATATTGTACGTAATAAATGGCAGCTATTGAATGCATGCTGCTTTTGCACAGGGACATGAAAAGAGTGAACTGGAGTTACTGTGGGAGATGGTTTAGCAATAGATGGGAGTCTTTTGGGAGATGACTGTCACAGGTCAGACAAGAAATATGCTAGTGTCAGCTAAGATGTTGGCAGTGAGTATGGAAACGAAGAGTTAATTTCTATGACAAGCAAAGTAATACGTAGAAACAAAATTGGTACATGAAAGTACATTTTGAGAGGATTTGGTTATTGATTGTGTAAGATGAGAATGATAAATTAACTAGTTTCTAATCACGAGACAAAAGTCACACACTAACCAGTGAAATAAAAACTTCCAAATCAAACAAATTATTAGAGTGGTGGTGACAATATATAAACACTTAATTGTCTAACTTCATGCAAAATGCTGAGGATTCCTAAGTGGCCTCTGTTCTTAAAGAGTTATAATTTAATAGGAGGAGATTGGCATTAAAGAAGCATCCAAAAGCTATTCAGTCAATTCTGACTTATAGCAAATGTCCTAAAGATTTCAAAGGCTGTAAGTCTTTACTGAAGCAGACACCACACCTATCACAAAGAGGCTGGTGGGTTTCAACCTCTGACAATAGGGTTAATAGGTTAACAACTGTTCCTCCAGGGCTGCTTCAAGGATATTATTAGTAGAGTTATACAAACCTATAAAAAGTTTTTGGGGAAATTCCATTATCTTTTATTTCAGAATTTCCACAAACCTTTTGAAACTCCTATTTTCTGAAGCCAGCATGTGAAATGAAAACCTGTCCAAACTGTAGTTGAAAATGTCGTAGGATAGCACCGCATTAGATTTTGATGTGTTCTTTCTCCCTAGGTCCATCAGAGAAGAATCCTCCAATACTGGAAATAAATCTGTTTACCATAGATACTACTCATATGTAAGCCAAGTTTTTCAGCACATTTTTTATGCAGTTTGTGTGGTAAAATCAGGTGCGTCTGGTCGACTTATACCGAGTATATAGTCTATGATCACCAAATGAAAGAGTTGGCTCAAATTTATGGAACCCTGTCAATCAAATATTCATTGGATACTTTTTTTTTTTTAATCATTTTACTGGGGGCTCATACAACTCTTAACACAATCCATACATGTATCAATTGTGTAAAGCACACTTGTACATTCATTGCCCTCATCATTCTCAAAATATTTGCTCTCTACTTAAGCCCCTGGCATCAGCTCCTCATTTTCCCCCTCCCTCCCTGCTCCCCCCTCCCTCATGAACCCTTGATAATTTATAAATTATTATTTTGTCATGTCTTACACTGTCCAATGTCTCCACCCACTTTTCTGTTGTCTGTCCCCCAGGGAGGAGGTTATATGTAGATCCCTGTAATCGGTTCCCCCTTTCTACCCCACCTTCCCTCCACCCTCCCGGTATTGCCACTCTTATCACTGGTCCTGAAGGGATCATCCTCCCTGGATTCCCTGTGTTTCCAGTTCCTATCTGTACCAGTGTACATCCTCTGGTCTAGCCAGATTTGTAAGGTAGAATTGGAATCATGATAGTGGGGGGAGGTTGGAAGCATTTAGGAACTAGAGGAAAGTTGTATGTTTCATCGTTGCTACATCACACCCTAACTGGCTTGTCTCCTACCCGAGACCCTTCTGTAAGGGGATGTTCAATTGCCTACGGATGGGCTTTGGATCCCCGCTCCACACTCCCCCTTATTCATAATGATACGATTTTTTGTTCTTTGATGCCTGATACCTCATCCCTTTGACAACATTGGATACTTTCTATTAGACTCTGGAGTTACATGGCAGAATCCCCGCTTTCAATTTTACATATTTTTAGTTGTCAAAACTCCCATTGCCGTTGAGTTAACTCCAACTCATAGTGACCCGATACAGGGTTTCTGAGACTGTAAAAATTTATGGAGGCATGAGTAGGGATACCCAGAGGGGAAGGTGGGAGGAGATAGGGGGAACCGATCACAATGATCTACATATAACCCCCTCCCAGGGGGATGGACAACAGAAAAGTGGGTGAAGGGAGACATTAGTCAGTGTAAGGCATAAAAAAATAACAATAATTTACAAGTTATCAAGGGTTCATGAGGGAGGGAGGGGGAAAGGAGGAGCTGATATCAAGGGCGTAAGTAGAAAGATAATGTTTTGAAAATGATGGCAATAGATATACAAGTGTGCTTAACATGATGGATGTATGGATTGTGATAACTGTACGAGCTCCCAATAAAACGATTTTTTTTGGGAGGGGGGAGCAGACAGCCTCATCTTTCTCCTGCAGAGCAGCTGGTGAATTTGAACCACCAAGCTTGTAGTTATCAGCCTAACACTTCTCAGGGCTCCTTTTAGTTGCCATAAACAAAATCTAGTTGCCATGTCATCTGCCATGGTAGAAGTCAAAGAATGCAGAGTTCTTTGGGTAAGGGTCAGAGATATAGAATCCCTGCCTTCAGAAATCTATAGGTTAAGGTTTTTGTCAACTTGGATAGGGAGATGATTCTCAGTGGTTTTGACAAATATATATGTAGTCTATTTTGTGGCCAGCCAATCAGTTGAGAACGAAATTCCTTGGGAGTTTGCATCCAATATTTATGGATGGTGTGACAGAAGCTCACGACCACATCTTTCTCAATTCTGCATCTCACTTGTCATCTTCTGACCTCTGCTTCTTGGTATGTGATCCAGCAGCCTGCCATGTAACCTGCCAGTTGTGGGTTCATCAGCCCTTGCAACCACCTAAGAAAGCAGACAGAACCCTCCAGCATGATATATGACCCATGGTTTTGAGACTTGCCAGCCTCCACAACTACTTGAGCTATTTCCTAGAAATAAATCCCTAGGTATACTCATTGTGTTAGTCCGGGTTGACTAGAGAAACAAATTCATAGAGACTCATACATGTGTAAGAGAGATCATTATATCAAAGAGCAATTGTACATTATGAAAACATCCCAGCCCAGTTC